GCTCCCTGCCCCACAGCGCCCCCTAGCGCCGCCCTGGGGCCAGCCCCGCCTGCCCGGGGAGAGCACCCCCCCAGCAGGGGGCGGAGCGGGGTTACCTGCCCAGCCACTCGGAGACGACCCCCACCAGGAAGGAGGAGATCATGCCCCCGATGGAGAAGATGGCGACCGACAGGGACCAGAGGGTGGTGAGCGTGGCGAGGTCGATGGACGCGTTGTGCCGCGCCAGCCAGGTGGCGTTATAGTTCTGCTCGATGATCTGGGAGGGGTCGAGGTGGGGGGAGAAAAGGGGGTCACTGCCCGGTGCCCCTCACTCCCCACCTGCAGCCCTGGGCCCCCCTCCCCTCAGCTTCACACTCCCTGTTTCTTAGGGGTGACGCCGAGGGCCCCATTCCCCACCCCCCTGAGCCAGCCAGTCCCCGTCCTGGGGCCAGGTGGGAGCCGGCGCCCCCTAGAGGGGACAGGCCCCAGCCCCATTCCCCACCCCCCTGAGCCAGCCAGTCCCCGCCCTGGGGCCGGGTGGGAGCCAGCGCCCCCTAGAGGGGACAGGCCCCTGCCCCTTCCCCGCCCCCCTGAGCCAGCCAGTCCCTGTCCTGGGGCCAGGTGGGAGCCAGCGCCCCCTAGGGGGGAAAGCGCGTTGGGGGGAGTCTCTTACCTTTTGGGGGGCATTGATCACACCGATGTTGTACCCGCACTGCAGGGACCCCAGCACGGCCGTGAAGACCGACAGCACCAGGGTCGAGGTTATCCCCGGCCCGGCTTGGGGCGGGACTTCGTCCTCCTGCAGAGACACAAGGGGCGCCCCCTGCTGGTGAGCTCCCTGCATCCCCGGGGAGCCGTGGGGGGCGGGACCCCATCCCTCCCTGCCCTCCCGGCACCGCTGCAGGGCAGTTCGCAGCAACGGGCGTGCAAAGCCCCAGGGCAAACACTGAAAGCGTTGCACGCCCACCCCCGTGCAAGTTGCACGGCCCTGTGCAATGGTGCCCAGGTTTGTCCCGCCTCTGCATGGCTACGGAAAGGAGGCAAAGCCTCGTGCAAACCCAGAGGGGGCTTGCACCGCCTCGCACGATGGAAGAGGGGTAACGTGCCCCTCCCGGTCGTGCAAACACGTACGGATTTCGTAGCGTGCGTGCGAGCTCGCACGGTCCCCCTGTCCTCTGACTAAGCCTGGCCCGTTCACTTCCCCTACCATCATCTGCTTCCAGTTCTGCTTCCCACATGACCCCCCCCCCCCGCCCCGACGGAGATTAGGGCCCCGGCGCGCCGGGCACTGCACAGATAGAGTGAGAAACAATTGCAAAACCACGTACCCTACCCCCACCCCAGAGCCCGACTTATAGGGCAGGGCACCTCTGCAGCTGGCAGACAAGGAGTTGGGCACTTGGCATCGGATCAGGCACGGCTGCACCTCTGAGTGGGGGAGGGAGAGAGACAGTACGATCTACTGGTTAGAGCGGGGGGGGGGATGGGAACTAGGACTCCTGGGTTCTCTCCCCGGCTCTGGGAGGGGAGTGGGGGCTGGTGGGTTAGAGCAGGGGGGGCTGGGAGCCAGGACTCCTGGGTTCTCTCCCCAG